ATCGAATTTATAAAAAATTCTGGGATTAATGGGATGAAAAAATTAATATTCTAGCCAATTTGGTGGTGGGGAGTTTAATTATTTTGAGGATTGAATTCGTGGGGGCTTCACACTTTTTTTCACTCTCAAGTTTTGGATTTGGGAATTTAATTAAGAATAATTGATGGCAAAGGCTTTGTACCCTAGCGGAAATGGGGGGAAGTTTTTGGAGGAAATGAGGAAAATCAGTTGAAAAACTAATTATAGGTTTTTATCAATGGCAGAAGTTGAGTTACGGGAAAATCGGGCACTTTTTCAGGTCTTTGTGAAAATATTCACATTTTTAATAGTGCGATGATTTGCCAGAGATTGGCGTAATGTTTTCGCAAATGAATGGGTAAAGAATTGATTAATTGTTCTCATGGGAATATTAATTAATGCTAATAAAGCAATCTAAATATTTTTCCCGGCGCAATTGCCTCGTCGGATCAAATTGATTATGATGTACTTCATTTCAAAACTCATCGTGCACAGAATGAAATAAATCTTGGCAGTAGGCAATGCGAGTTTAGAGTGGAAAGAAAGGGAGAAAAAAAAATGCCTAGAAAGATGTCGATTTCACTCAGCAGCGAATCGATCACGTTAATTGGCGGATTATCGCTATTTTCTACCGATCATTGAGAAATTTCAGCGCCGTGTAATGACTCAACTTTCATTTTTCCTCTCTTTCGAATCGGTGGAATAAAGGCGAAGGTCAGAGCAGATACTAATTATTTTTACAATTGTACTGAGAAAATAAATGATTTCGTTCAATGAAAGCTCTACCTCCCCGGTTAATTCAATGTTTATGAAAAAATAAAGATAAAAATTTTTTCATGATAATTAAAAATGGACGATAAGTGCAATTAAATAAATTAATGGTCACAATTTCAATGATCATTAATTATTTATTCGCAATTATTGTGATTAACTTATCACATAATTATGAATATTGCAAATATTTTGCAGTTGAAAAATGAATGAAATATTAAATTGATATAAATAAACAGGTCGTTTGAATTGATAAAAATGTTCTGAGAGTATGAGGATCAAGAATCTTATCCTTTCACTCCACAAAAACATTTTCCATTTCGCTGATCCTATTAGAACTTGTAGTGACGAAACGACGATTAACACCGAGTGGAGGAAAGAGGGAAAAGAGGGAAAAGAGAGAAAAGAGGGAATCTCACGATTTACCATTGTCGTGATTCCATCCATTGTTATTCAGAACTGCAAAACGATGTCTTCCCGAATCACTCCTTTTTCAAACTCCTTTTCGCACCCCCCAACCTCTTCCCTTCTTTCTCGTCATCCCATTTCTTTGCCTACGATCACGCCGAGAATGATAATAAAATTCTCAGCGACTCCGAGCATTCGGAGGATTTCTTTTCCTTTTTTTCCCTCTTTTTTTTCATTCTCTGTTCATCACTCGGCTACTGCAAAAAAAATTTCCCCCGATTCTCCCACGAATAAGAATTTTTTTCCAATTTTTTTCCAATTTTTCTCCAATTTATATTAATTTATTATATTTGATATTATTGATAATTATGATAATAATTATTATTAATAGGATTTTTCAATGAAAGATTGGCAGAATAATTTTTATTGGGAAATTGAATATTTCTTTTTTGTTTTTCATTCAATTATTTTATGAAAATTAGAAAAAAATTTATAATATTCGTTCAGCCTTTTGAGGAAAAATTCTGCCCTCATGTATTTTTCATCCCCATCGAGGCAAGATGTTTTTCCCAGTCGCGAGAGATGGGAGAGGACTTGAATATCACAGAATCTCGTAACTTAATCTCCGATATTGGATCGACCGCATACGCGCATAAATGCTCGGCAACATTATTCCGAGACCCATGGATAGACCATTTGTGCGAGATCCCGCAGATATTCACGTCTTTTGAGCATTTCAATGTGCCAGTGTCCACATCCATCGGTTTACCCAGAATTTATTGCGTGGGAACATAAATTTTTAGGATTACGCGATCAGAGTTCTCACCGGAAAATTCAATTTCAAGTATTTCAACTTCTATTCCCAGTGCGGCTATTTAATTTTCATTTCTATGAGCCCATCGAGGGAAACGTACACGATTGTCATTAAAGAATCAATAAAATTGATAAAAGTTTCCCTGCCGATTTAAAATAATACAATGCTCTAATTTTTCTGGGATTTCCTTCTCGCAATAATCGCCAGGTGAAAAAAATTGTAATCGAAATATTATTTTGAATATATTAATTACAATAAAATAGTTCAGTAATATAATTTTCCATCCAGACAACGAAATGAATTTGTTTTTCAACAATACCTGGCGAGTAAAACGTCAGGCCAAGCAAAACTGTTGCCTAAACCCATCACGACCCCCAAAAATCCACTTTTACCCCCTGTAATACCCACCGATTATCACCCACAGGGATTATTTCCACGTCCCGATTTAATATCGACGAGCGCATAATAATCGTCACGCACGGATAAATACGAATTAGCTGAGTTTCCCCACTTTATGTACATAAATATACAACCGGCACTACATATGCATGTGTAAATTCATAAATCCCGAAGCGTTTTCGCATAAATCGAGCCATACGAGTACTTCATCTACATACGCACTTATAATCACACTAATATAGTTGGTACATCACATATTATACCACATATATTTTTTATCTCTCCACATGGAAACTGACAGACTCTGAATTTCCCAGGGATTTCCCTCACCCCTTTCCACACCGATGGTATAATTTTTCCCGTCAGTTGTGAATCGACAGTTTAAAAATTTCGAGCATCAATGTTGTTAATCGCCGATTAATAACCGAGTGCTGGTAAAAGAGGGGGTGGAGAGGGGGGG